TATATATATATATATATATATAATTATGTATATTAATTTGATAATAATGTATGATTTATTAATTATGTTGTAGGTTCGCAAAGCTTTAAAGTCACAAGAAGTTTATGAAAACTTTCTTCGGTGCCTTGTACTTTTTAATAAAGAAATCATTTCTAAAACAGAATTGATACAATTAATTACACCATTTCTTGGCCGTTCTCCGGAGCTTTTACGTTGGTTTAAAGATTTTTTGGGCCATTTATCTGATTCTTCCAATACATCAACAAATAATACAGGAAGCGGTCTTGGAGTCGAAGCACTTCCAAATAATGTGGCGCGTGGTCACCAAGAACGACCTCAAGGTGATTTAGCGATGGAAATTGATTATACTGCGTGCAAGCGATTAGGAGCTTCATATTGTGCTTTGCCTAAGTCTTATGTTCAACCAAAATGTACCGGTAGAACGCAATTATGTAAAGAAGTTTTAAATGATACATGGGTATCATTTCCAACTTGGTCAGAGGATAGTACGTTTGTTACATCTAGGTAAATAGAAAATTAAAAGATATTTCTTGATAGAAGAGTTTCTTTTTGTTTTGTTGTTATTGTTGTTTTATAATTGTTATAATTTAAGAATTTAAAAGCTACAATTTATTATATATCGTATGTATAATCACTTTGCAGAAAAACCCAATATGAAGAATTTATTTATCGTTGTGAAGATGAAAGATTTGAGCTGGATGGAGTGATAGAAACCAATGCATCGACTATTAGAGTATTAGAAGGTGTTCACAAAAAGATGAATAGGATGAGCCAAGAAGAACTTCAGAAATTTAAACTGGATGATTGCCTTGGAGGTTATTCTCCTACGATACATCAACGCGCATTAAAAAGGATATATGGAGATAAAGCTGCTGATATTATAGAAGGTCTTAAAAAGAATCCTGTAATTGCATTACCAGTCGTTTTACGACGTTTGAAGAGTAAGGAAGAGGAATGGCGAGAAGCTCAAAAGGGCTTTAATAAAATTTGGAGAGAACAGAATGAGAAATACTATTTAAAATCTTTAGATCACCAAGGTATTAATTTCAAACAAAACGATGTGAAAGCTTTAAGATCTAAAAGTTTATTTAATGAAATTGAGACTTTATATGATGAGGTTAGTAGTATATCATATCAAATGAAATCTGTTCAAATGAATTATGTTGGCTACTACCTGATTATTTGAATAGATATTGATATGTCTTATTACAATTCTATTATAGAGACACGAGCAAGTAGATGAAGGTACCAATGATAATCAAGGAAACAGTGGTCCACACTTAGTGTTACCTTATAAAGACAAATCTGTCTTAGATGATGCAGCTAATTTATTGATACATCATGTCAAACGACAAACTGCTATTCATAAAGAAGATAAACAGCGTATTAAACTCTTACTTAAGCATTTTATACCGGACCTCTTTTTTCATCAACGCCAAGAACTTAGCGACGATGAGAGAGATGAAGACGGTAAATATTATTATTCATATTATTCATATTATTCATATTATTCATATTATTCATATTATTCTAAATATATTTTGAAAAATGAATAGAGAGTGAACAAATATAGAATAAACACACACACACACACACACATGTGCATATTTTATATTAATTAATTTTGGTGTAGATGACAAAGAGGATGTGGGTGTGGCAGCATGTAGTAATTCTCAATCTATAACCATGTCATCGCCACATGGTGGTCTTCAAGCAAACAGGAGTAAGGCCCCACTTTCCCCAGTCCTGTCTTCCACTTCGGCTAAAGTCGAATCTGATATGAAAATACCCATGCATGCCCTATCAAATGATCCTGAAGAGGCATACACTCTATTCATGGGCAGTAATAATTGGTACCTCTTTTTGAGGTTACATCACATCCTCTGTGAAAGATTAACTAAGATGTTTGAGAGAGCGGTTACCCTTGCAGAAGAAGAATCTAGATACAAACAACAACGTAAGGAGAGTACTGCTGTGGCTCTCAGGTTAAAACCAAAAAGTAAGTGAATCATTTCAAGTGTCCTCTTCTATTAGGGATATTAAATATCATCTCTGCTCTGCTCTCTGTTTTATAACATATAAAAATATATCTTTTTTTTTTTTTATTGAACATAGGTGAAATAGAAATTGGAGAATATTATCCTGCATTTTTGGATATGGTGAAAAATGTTTTGGATGGAAATATGGAGAGTACAGCATATGAAGATACATTACGTGAAATGTTTGGTATACACGCATATATTGCTTTTACTTTGGACAAGGTTGTGACATATGCCGTGAGACAAGTATGTAGAATATTTTCTTAATATATTATTATTTATTTATAGAGTATAAATTTATAGTATTATACTTATGTTTCTTTCTTTGTTCTTTTATTTTTTTTTTTTTTTATAGTTGCAGCATTTAGTGTCCGATCCTATATGCCAACAATGTATGGAGTTATTTCAAAGAGAACAACGTCAACCAAAAGAAAGTAGCGGAGCTGGTGGATTATGTGTTACAGCTTATATGAGGCTTGGTGCTGAACTTTCGTATCAGCGTAAAGCAGAAAAAGCAATGGCTGATGAAAATTGTTTCAAAATCTATATAGTAAGTAAACACATTTAGCGATATATGTGCTAGACTGCATTAATTATAAAAGTATATTCAAATTATTTATTCAGTTTATTTTCACAGTATGAAGGAAAATAAGTTTGAATAAATATTTCAAGTTTGGAAATATTCCAAAGTATCTTTTTTTTAGGAATTTCTTCTTGTTGTTGTTGTTTACTTCAAATGAATATCTTTTACAGAATGTGTGACTTGATCAATATTTTAATCATAATTTATTGCAAACAACAACAATTATGGATATTTTTGTAAGATTAGTAATATTTCATAGCATTTATACACACTTAAATAGAATTGTTAAGAATTTGACTTGAATATTATCAAGATGCAGTATAGATTTATTTAATTAGAATATAATTCTATAATTGGAATCTTTTAGTGTATACATTTGTATAGAAAAATTGGATCTATTTATCAAATATCTTGTATAAACTAGTTGTTTTGTATTACAGTATAAAAAGGATTGTAAAATGACAATGGAACTATTGGATACAGAAGGTGATGAGGCAATGGACAGTGGTTGTAGAGAGAAAGAAAGAGAAGGAGTTATGGTATCTGAAAAATGGTCAACTTATGTGGAAAGGTTCTCTGCTCCGCCTGGTCAAACTAGCCCGAAAGATACTTCTGCTGTGGTAGACAATGAGCCAACGACCAATCATCCTGTGAGTAGTGACCAGGCAGCAAGGGGGGTTCGGGGCAGAAAGCGCAAGAACACTGACATTAGCAAGAAGGTATAGGATCCACATCCCTTTTCATAATCATTGCCAACCTTCGAATTTACATTCACTTGTATTTTGGTGTCTGTGATCGAAGTTGTAATATTATCTGTCGGTTTTAAATCAGTGACCGAAACCAAGCAACAAATCTATTTTAAGAAATTAGTATTTTCTTTTTCTTTTTATGTTAGGGCTAAAAAGGCAAATTAAAAGTTAATTAACTAAAAGTAACAAAAAAGAAAATAATATAATAATCTTTAATAATAAATTAATCTACTAACAAGAACAACAACAACAACAACAACAACAACAACAATAATAATAATAATAATATTAATAATACTAATAAAAATACTAATACTAAACTAATACTAATACTAACACTAATAATAATAATAATTAGATATCTTCTCGGGAATTTGCCTTGAAGCAGTTACTGTTGATTTTCCACCATGTGGGAAATGCTTTTAAGAAAATTTCAACTTTGACATAACTTATTATGTCATCACTATAAAGATATTAATAATATTATATAAAAGGTTATTTAGAATTTTCTTATTTTATGTAAATTATCTATATATAGTGGCAGGATTTTATAAATTGTAGGGTCTGATATCGCGAAATCTCTATATGTAACGTATTTTATATACGTAAAACATATATGACGTATTAAAAAGTTTTTAAATCAAAGAAAAGCAAAGCTTATACATACATTTATTTTCATAATGCTCAAAGACTTTTAGATACATAACCATTTTTTACTATGGATTGCAATGAGGTGCTGCAAAAAATGTAAAATGCTATGAAATAGAGTTAAAGCCCTTCTTTATTTTATTCTTTTCTCTTTCTTATCTTTTCTTATTTAATTACTACAAATATAAAAGCGATATAAAGTAATCGGTGAATTTTATTATAACGGGGGAAAAAAAAACAAAAACAAAAACATAGAGATAATATTTTATTTTCATATTTAAGTATTTTGAAAAATTTGTTAATTTGTATATAAAAAAAAATATATATATATATATATATATTTTTTTTTTTCTTATTTTTTTCTTTTTCGTTTTTTGTTACAATGTTGTCAGAGCTTCTTTTTATTGATTGTAAAAAGAAATTTTATTAATTTAAAAAAAGAAAATAAATCCAAATGATATTTTCTTTAGTTTTGTTTGGTAATTTTATTGATTGTTTAAAAGCAATATCCATGCATTGTCTATTGCAGCATGCGTATATAATATATA